GAGAACACTGAATCTATTTTAGATGATGATACAACTAAATGGACGCAAACAGATTTCACTGAACTTGAGAAAATTCTGCATAATTGTATTCCTCACATTAGATTTTTCCAATTTTCATTTTTTGAACTTCGATTTATTATAACTAAATACAAAAATATTTTACCAGACAATCTCGATGAAATTCTTCAATATTTTTTAGATCCTAAGCATAAAAATAATTTACAAAAAAGAGAATCAGCTTATTCTTTTAATTCTAAACTTATCGATGCTAAAGATGCTGCATTAATAGCAAGTTGGATTGATAAGAAACAAGGATTATCTTATCGTTTTAAAGATATGCCTTTCAAATTTGAACTTATTTATCAAGCAAGTCGTGAAAGTTTTTCTATTAATAAGTTTCATGAGTGTTGTGATGATAAGGGACCAACTATTGTTATAATTAAAGTTAAAAATACAAATGAAATAATTGGTGGATATAATCCATTAGATTGGTATAAAAATGATTTACTGAGCAATATATTTAGTGATTATGATAATCATTATTATTTCAAAAAAACATCAAAGAGTTTTATATTTTCTCTATTTTCATTATCTAATGGTGCAATTCCTAGATTAAGCCGTGTCTCTTCTAAAAAGGATGCAATCACTTGGTCTAGGGCTAGAGGTCCATGTTTTGGTTTCAAAGATTTATGGGTAGAATATAATAAATCACAAAGATCTACTGTCGGTATAAGTAAGCAACACTCTTACGAATTAGGAATTATTGATAAAGATACTTTTGAAATAGAAGAATATGAGGTGTTTCAAATTACTTATAAGAATTTCTCATTTGGAACAATATTTGATAGAGTATTTAAATTTATCGAGTCAATCTTTAGATTTATCATATCAATGCTTGTGATAGCATTTAGATTTATGATATCAATGTTTGCGACAGTATTTAGATTTATGGCATTAATGTTTGTGAAAACATTTAGATTTATCATGTCAATATTTCAGAAAATATTCGTGTTAGAAGATTTATCTGACAATGTGGCTTGTTTATTTCTTTTAGGTTCGTTTACATTTTTAATGATGTCCTCCATAGCAACTTTATTATTTATATTTGTTAAAGTTAGTGATATAGTAAAACTTTTAACTGTTTCATCTTCCGCTACTGCTTCTATATTTTTATTGTCTATTTTTATTGCTATTTGGAGGCAAGGCGATCTTAGGATGGCTCATAAAGTTTTTATGATTTTTCTATATGTTTTTATATTATCTTTTCATTCATTTGCAATAATCTATTTTGTCAATGATAATGTTTTAGCACAAATTCTTGCCGCATCATCTTTTGCCGGCATAGTTATTACATCATTTATATGGTTTATGTGGGAGGGATTTTTTCTACCAATGGTTGAGAAAGTATTTGAATTAATTGAACTAATCTTTAAGAAAGTACCCGGATTAATTTTATTTTGGAGTACAATATCCTCCCTGGCTACTTTAGTATTTATATTTATTAGAGTTAATGACACAGTAAACCTTTTTATGGTTTCATCTTCTGCTACTGCTTCTGTGTTTTT